GTAGGGAAACACTCAAACATTTACTAGACAGTTAAGGCAATTTAATATGGTCATGTCTAGTGCTTCAATTATTAAGTGGACTTAGTTCAGTGCAATTTTCAACTCATACATATTTTATGACCTTTATTGGCATGGTGATGTCTGCACATTAGGAGTAATTAATACTTTTGACCCATAAACCTTTCTCAATTCAAGTGCCTGTAGTCAAAGAATTTTCTTTTTTACCTACCAATATGGTAGTATTAAGATGTCAATAAGATCAATAACATTCTGTTGTTGGTTACTAAAATAATTCTCATCAATTGAAATTACTGTCTATGAAAATCAAAGTAATTATAATTTAAGATTGCTTATAATCTAGAAAAAAAAGACAGCAAATATAACTGTTCCAAGTCAAAACAGATAAAAGTCCTTCTAATTAAACTACCATTTATAAAAGCAATGGCCTTGAAGCTGTATCATTCATCTTGCTGTTGTTTAATATTTACATTGTTATTCATGGGGGGTATTTCCAAAGTACCACCAGAAATAAACTATGTAACTATTACATACAATATTTGGTTAACAAAATGATATTAAGTGATTTCTCTCTATCTTCCCCAATAATTTGTTTTTTTTTGAAGAAAATCTACTTTTTGCTTTTATTCTAAATAAAACCACACCAGCTAACAGCATGGTAGTTTCAAAATCAATCTGATGTACCTGATGCTTTTTGTTTTCCATTTTATCTTTTCCCATGCATTTAAAGGTGGGTTACATCTATTTTTCAGGTTCTCCTCCCTCCAAATGAATTTGTTTCCGATATACTAAATTATAAAAAGAACAACAACAACAACCCTTCCCAAAAAACTAGTGGCTGGGGTTACTGCCCCTGGTACAAAATTGATTCCATAGTTTGAAAATTAAGATAGTTCCACAATTATTTCCCCCTAAGTCACTATGAATGAACAATTTTCTTGATTAATTCTATATAATTACACTGAAAAATATTAGTGTATATTTATTATGATAAACACATTTAAAATTCAGCCTACCATAATGTGCTACAACTCTGACAGCCATATTTTCCCTTGATACAGCTTTTTGAAAGGCCTGGCCAATAAGAATTGCACTCTGCTTTCATTGAAACTAAACTTGATCCAATGATTCATAATCTCAGCTGGGATAAATCAAAGCAAATGTATTGATGTCAATACATCCATACTAATTTACATCAGCTAAGGAATTGGCTTAGAGTGTCTAAAATTAGACAAAATATAACTTCTGATTTGGGAAAATACAGTTTATTTCTGACCTACTATGGAACACTAGTGGAGCTATTTCTAAGTCCTCAATAAAGTAGTAGTTGCAGTAAAAGCTTGTAAGAGATCCCAAGGGTGAAAGCGTTTTAGTCTTGCAGGTGATCAGGGCATAGACAGCTGTGCTTTTGAGCCTTGATTAATGGGCAGCTCTGAACTGTCATTCATGTTACCTAAAAGTAGCTGATATATAATTTATTGCTGCAGGGTATGGTCATGAAGCTACTGAAATGACTAACAAGGTTAGGACTGCAAGGGGCAAAATATTAACCCTTAATGAAGAAGGAAGAAAAGGGTTCACAACCTCATCCAGGTTATATTATTGTGTTTCTGACATTGTTAAATAAAAGCCCATCTGGCATACCTTTCTGTTCAGTAATGGGAAAGGATACAATGTGAGTTCAAGCCACAAAATCAGGAAAAGAAACAAACCTAAACAATAACAAGTTGGAGTACAGACATAAAAAAAAACAAACCCTCAAACACGAATGTAAAACAATAATTCTTTTAGACAATAAGTGACTCATGCAAAAATGCAGTTTTAACTTCTTACCAATACATGTAGGTAGGGAATCATTCCACTGTGCCAAAGCATTGGGTACTGTATCACATCTGATTGCTATGGATCCATGGAGGATATATCCTGGATTGCACTCAAAAAGAACTAATGAACCAACAGCAAATTCATTTCCAATCCTTTTTCCAAATCTTGGTTCAGGCACAGAGCTGCACTGTGTTGCACTTGTTCTTGGAACAGCTGCATGCATACAAACAATTGTGGATTCTCAATTTTATTTTTGGTGGAGAAATAGATTTTCAAATGCAAACAACAGAAATGATGGGTAGAAACATTCAGTTATCATGTCAGATAATAACATTTGCATAATTTTTAAATTAGTCTTCAAAATAAGGATTCCTCATCTTGAAATTTGAATTACAATTCAGATTAACATTAAAAACTAATATTCTTGCCAGAATTACAAGCACTTTATAATATCCCTTCCTAAAATGGCACTAACATTTGATGTTTTATTATGAAATATTCAGCTAATATACAGTTTCAAACTAGTATAGCTTGCATTTATTGGGTATGGCTTTAAAAATGTATGTTCTGCTTGTTGGAATGGGATTCAAATTTTATGAAAGACTGAATTAAGTAGCAAGTGTTGATGTTTAATCATTGCAGCGTCTAATCCTTAAGAAGGAAAATAATGTAAATCAAGTGAAGCATCTTAAGAATAGCAAGCTTACTGATTCACCTAAAGGTAATACCATTTCTAGTCATTCATATTTAAATAGAGAGATAAGTCAGTTTGAGCAGCTGGTTGGATTGAACATTAGTCAGCCAGATTAACCAAAAATAGAAATACTTGGTTTTAATAATTGGATTCTCAAATTTGGAAACCTTTCTTAAGCATCTCAAGTGCCCAATTTTATTTTAAGAAACACTTATGCATTATTGAAGATGTCAATAAAAATGAAATTATTTCACATATACACACAACATGGGGAACATAACATTATATCAGTAATCTATGATTGTCTCTCCATTCTACGCCTGTTTATACCCAATTAATTCTTTATTTTATCAGTTACATTTGTCAAAATACAATTTAAAATATGATTATAATTAATTTGTTAAGAAACAGGTGGAAAAGGTGTTTATGAACAAAATTAATTTAAGTATTTTTTCCCTATTACTACCTCACTTACCTTGATAAACAAAATGAAATCCTTTAGCTGTTACTGGTCCAACTGAAGTAAATCTAACTGTAATCTGGTTACCAGAGCTCAACGGAAGGGATTCACCTACTCAAACAAACAAAGTACCAATTTAACATACACAATTTTAGGGAATAAATAGTAAAAAGCCTATGGAAAAATCCACCATTAGAAAACCACCACAAAATACATCCTGCTCAAATTAAGGGATTTGTATCCCATACACTGATACAAGTTTTACATTCTTCAGTTCTTTAGAAGTTAGATCTTGAGTTCCTCTCTCACATTAGTGCTGTTCTCCCTGATTTAAAAACAAACTCTTGGTCTTTAAGCCCCTATTAATATGCATATAATCTACCCAAATTAACTTTGCCATATATTTCTTACTGTTGCTATTAATATTTTAATATCCATTTTACATAACGCATTAGATAAGAACACAGTCAAGCCCAAACTGAAAAAAGAATACTGACTTCATTAGTTACATATTAACAGATAAATCCAAAAAAAAATTAGATTAACTTTAGACCTCTTTCCTTTTATCAGCTCAGACTTGTGAGTCACTACTGAATGATTAGGTTTTCATTTCAGACTTTTACATTATATGCTCAATTTAATTTGTTTCTATGAAAATATGACAGCATTTTTTAGTACCTTCTCAGTCAATATCATTTCTAAATAAATAATTGATGTATGACAGTTCTATTAAGGGATACCTGAATGAGATCCTGAGAGGGAGGATAACAAAGATGATTGCTGAGTTGGACCATCATATACCTCAACCACATCATGGAGCAATGTCTGGAAAAATACAAACTGGCCGAACACGACTGGTCAGCAAAACAGAGAAGAGGTAAGAAAAAGTTTGAAAGAAACCGAGAGAGAGAAAGGGAAAGAAGAGAGAGAGAGAGAGAGAGAGAAAAAGATCAAATATGTTAATGTTATTTTTTTTAAATGCATATTACTGAGAAGAACAAGCATTTATTGGTTAATATCTTTGAGCAAAGTAGAAAGAATAAAATTCAGCTATCCATTTTTATAAAATTAATTGTATTTTATTAAAATGGATTACTTTAAAAGGATGTCAGAAAGTCTAATTCTGTATAAAAAAAACAAAAGCAGGGTAGATAGGGAGATTAAGAAAGCATTTGCATAAATATTTTCACCTTGACAGAAAAACAGTCATAATACTACTGCTGCTTTACTTTATCTAAATTTTATTAGATTTTATTAGGGTTTATTTACTTTATCTAAATTTTCAGTGCAGTTTGCCACTTACTATATTATACATTTTGTGACTCTTCTCTATTTTGTTTTGTTTAATTAATTTAGCTAACAGGACTTTAATTTACATAGGTAAGTTTTGCTCTTCTTCTGACCTGGAACTTAACATCTAAGTCCATATTTTTTTTCTTTGGGATGTAAAGTGAACAAATAACATTCAAGGTACTTCTGGAGTCTATGTCCACATTCACAGTAAAAAAATTGTGAAAAAAAATAGTAATGATGCCAACAGAAAAAAATAATTTCTAATTTTTATCTTATAATTTTACTGAACTTGGAAAAGGGATATTTTAGCTCCATTATTTGGAATCCCCTGCAAGAAAGGATATCATACTGATTTTTCCACTATATACAGACTGTCATACAGAAATTAAATTAATTATTCATTTGGGAGAGTCCCTCTTGAGGGGGACTGAGGGAGTGATCTTCCTCCACAGTCCTTTAGCCCATCATGTCCCCATGAGCCCCAGACCCCCAGGATCCTCCATCGGAGACCCGATGGACCCCAACTCCCCAGCATAGCTGGGAGGTAGGTGAGGTCTGCGGTGGGTGGGAAATAGCCAGCTGCAGGAGGTAGCTGAGAGGAGCTGAGGAGGGTCATGCCCCACACCTCCTTCTGGCTCCTACTTGGCCCAGACCCCCAGGAAACCACATGACTGCAGCCTCATGAACAGAACACATAAACAGGTGCACTCTGTGCCTGGTGCAAGGTAACACAGGAGTTCGTGCAGGAGGGCACACAGGATGGGCATGAGGCTCTAGGTGACAAGCCTGAAGAGAAGGGTTGGCATGGTAGTAGCCCGAACTCACCCGGACAAAGGAGAGGAGGTTGATATAATACATTTGGACTTCAAGAAAGCCTTTGATCTGGTGTCCCATGATGTCCTTATGGTAAAATTGAGGAACTTTGGCCTCAACAACCTTAAGTCCAAGGATGGACCCAGGAAGTGACAGTTGATGGAACTGAATCAACATGGTGCATGGTGATCAGTGGTGCCCTTCAGGGCTCCATTCTCGGACCTGTACTCTTCAATGTATTTATAAATGATCTTGGCTCTGGTGTCAGAAGCAGACTGGCTAACTTCACTGATGACACCAAACTGTGGGGAAGTGTATTCAACCTAAATGATAGGCTGGTGATCCGGGCCAACCTTGACAAGCTTGCAAGGTGGGGAGGATCAAAACTTGATGGCATTCAACATGGAGAAATGCAAGGTACCCCACCCCAAAAGAAACAACCCATATTACACTTAGAGACTTGGCAGTGCTACCTTATCTAGCATCACAACTGAAAGAGACTTGTGGGTCATGACTGACCACAGGATGAAAATGAGCCATCAATGCAATGCCACAGCTGGCAAAGCAAATAAAACTCTGGCTTGTATCTACTGATAATAAGGAACAATGGTAATAAGCTGATGGAGAATAGGTTTAGGTTAGAGATCAGAAGGCAATATTTTACAGTTAGGGTGGCCAAAATCTGGAACCAGCTTCCCAGAGAAGTGGTCCTCGCCCCTACCTGGGGTAAATTCAAAAGGAGGTTGGATGATCACCTGTCTGGGGTCTTTTGAACCCAGCATTCATTCCTGCCTGTGGCTAGGGATCTGTTCAGGTCCTTCCTGACCCTACCTACTATGAAACTATGATGCAGCTCAAGCAAGACCCAGGAAGTCATCCTCCCACTTTACTCAGCCTTGGTGAGGCATAGCTGGAATACTGTATCCAATTCTGGGATCCACAATTCAGAAAGGATTTGGAGAAGCTTGAGAGAATCCAGAGGACAGCTATGTGCATGATTAGAGGACAAGAGAGCAGGCCTTATGAGGAGAGGCTAAGAGCCATGTAACTCTTTAGCCTGGAAAAGTGTAGGCTCAGGGACGACTTGGTAGTAATCTATAAGTGTATAAGGGGTGTGCATCAGCAACTGAGAGAACATATGTTCACCAGGGCACCTCAAGGGAAGACAAGGTCCAATGGTCACAAATTCCTGGAAGACTGTTTTAGGTTGGACATAACAAAAAACTTCTTTACTGTCCGAGCCCCCAGGGCCTGAAACAGACTCCCCACAGAGGTGGTGCAAACACCTACTCTGGACACTTTCAAGATGCCTATTTTGCTGGGATCATTTGACCCTAGCTGACTTCCTGTCCCTTGGGCAGGGGGCTGGACCTGATGATCTTGCAAGGTCCCTTCCAGCCCTAATGTCTATGAAATCTATGAAATCTCTAATTTTTGGTCTTAGTTTTTGTTCCTAATACTGCCCACACCACAGAAATACCAGCCTAACTAACAACTTGTAGGTTGCATCTACACAAGATGCTTACAGTGCAGTTGATTAATTAACTGCACTTTAAACTTCTCAATGTCTACACATGTGCCCCTCTTAGGGTGCACAAAACTAATAAACTCCCTGCTGTGCAGGTTTTCGTGCACAGCAGCACATGTATAGACACTGACCCGGATGGCTGGGGCATGAGGGTGTTTCAGTATCGGGGCTGCCTTTTGGCTAGCCTCCACAGCACATTAAGCCCAGGTGGAGCAGCTCTGGGCTGGCAATAGGGTTGCCAACTCTGACTAAGCTATTCTGGGACATTTTTCCCCCAACATGATGTAATGTCATTAATAGGGGTGCAACAATAGAGATATTTTGGGCCTATACCAATGATCAATTTTTAACAAGCCATATCGGCCTATGCCAATCTGATTGCTGATATGCAGCTGGGCAGCTTAGAGAGCAGCATCCAGCTGGTAAATTTGTTGTGGAGGAAGGGGTGAGGGGGGAGGGAAGAGGAGTGGGGGCCTAAGGTTGTGGGGGGGCAGGGGCAGGCACTGACAGCCAGGGTGGAACACAGGATGGAGCCATGAATGGCTCATGTGGGGGGAGGGTGGGGAAGCTCCTGCCACTGCGCACACCCTGGGAGGGCACAGGGAGCATGTGCTCCTGGATCTGCGAATGGGGCAAGGGCAGTCTGCCACTCTGGGGCTAGGGATGAAGCAATACTAAGTCAGGGGCTGGGTCAGGCTGTGATCAGGGCAGGTGGCAGCAGCACTTGGAGTGGGGCTATGAGGCAGGGCTGCAGCCACCCCAAAATTAACTGTAGCCCCTTTCCCAGCACCACTGCTGCCCACTCTGAGTGCAGCCCCAGCCCAATGCCCCACCAGGAAGAGCACAGCACTGCCCTCAGCCTGCAGCAGCAGCCCACTCTCCCCCATGTGCAGATCTGGGGTCAAGGGCAGGTGGCAGCAGCACTTGGAGTGGGGCTATGAGGCAGGGCTGCAGCCACCCCAAAATTAACTGTAGCCCCTTTCCCAGCACCACTGCTGCCCACTCTGAGTGCAGCCCCAGCCCAATGCCCCACCAGGAAGAGCACAGCACTGCCCTCAGCCTGCAGCAGCAGCCCACTCTCCCCCATGTGCAGATCTGGGGTCACATACCTCCTATGCCCTCCCTGGGTGCATACAGTGGTAGGAGCTGCCACCCCCTCCCCGTGACCCCTGGATGAGCCACTCGCAGCTCCATCCCACCCCAATTCTGCAGCACCTGCCCCTGCCCCACTCCCTCCCTCACCACTGGGGCCTCAATCTGCCCCACCCTTCACTCCTCTTCCCTGACAGCAGACTAACCAGCTGGACCTGGTACCGATCTGATATATTGGTATCAATCCAATATGGGACCGATATATTGGTGCACCTCTAATCATTAATTATACTATTCAACCTGTTCAAAATATCAGTCTCCCAGATTGCTTTTAATAGTCACCAGGAGAGCGATGCCAGTTCTGGTAAACTCCTGGCCAGTTCAGGAGTGTTGGCAACCCTAGCTGGCAAGCTGACCCCATCAGGCTTCCTGACAGCTGTGGCTGTTGTGACCTGGCTCAATGTGTTACAGTCCGAGAGCACATGTAAAGCATATGCTTGGGAGCTTCCCAGGAGCAGTAAGCAATAAGCTCTGCAATAAGCAATAAACAGTAAGCTCTACAGTTTATTGATGCACATTAATAGCATGTGTAGATGTGCCTGTTGGCAGCACTTGCCAGAGAAACTAGTGAGCTTATGAATATAGAGCTCAAATTCCTCTCTCACCAAAATTAGGTTAAAGCTCATTAAAAAGCAAAAAAATACTGAGGACTATGGGAAGAAACTATGCAGCATAACTTGTAGTGCCACTATATGAGTCATCTGTATTCTCTGAATTCAGAAAAAGCATCACTGATCAAGGTTTTCTAACTGGCACTATTCATAAAAACTAGAACCACACATAATATCTATATACTGTAATACAACCTCACTTACAGCAATTAGGAGTGCCTAAAATCAAGGAAACAATACAACTAATGGGCCATCAAAATATGAAAAAAATGTCAAAAGGGTAGAAGAACAGTACACAGGTATGTGAAAACTTTGCCTACAAAAAAGTGAACAAGAGTAAAATGGCTGCAATTTAATAGTTTTCTTCTCCTTTTCTTTTTTCTTCTTATCAGAAGGTAAGAAAATATTGGTTTGATCAGATGTATAAATCTTCATCCAGTGTATAGCATGTGTCTTG